GGTTTAGGGTTTATAGGGTTTGAAAGCCCTATAAAGCCTAAACTCTAAACCCACCAAAACCCTGAACCCTGAACCCTAGCTTTTCACCCTAAAAGGTTTGAGTGTCCTCCAAGCAAGGCCGTACATCAACGTGATTCCTAAGACTGGGTCTGTTGGAACGCTGTTTGTTGGTGGTTTGCTTGGGGGCTTGTGGTCTCTTGAAGGAGCCGCGCTCATGAATCAATTCTCAGCTTGCTTCCTGCTGCTATTCGCCCCTGATAACCGACCCCCAGTAGTTGGGGAAAGACGAGTGCAGATAGCCCTGCGCCTCGTTGCTGATACTAAGTATATATCTACTGTGAGGTCCGCTGCGAGATCCAGAAGAAAAAAACCAACAACGCAAGTAGTGGGTTACTATATTAGTCGACTATGTTTACATCTGGACCGTCGCCTGCTACTTGCGTAACTCGGCCTCTAGGATTACAACACTGCGGCTTTGGGAAGTGGGGTGATTCATCCGAAGGATCCGGAAGCTTTCTATCTTTGCAACCGCTCGGGTGGCCGGGATTTCTGGGACAAAGACATGCCTGGCAATGGTATGGTGTTGGCTGATCTCATGGCCTGGTCAGCTTTCCATTCGCTCGAGAGCTGTGGAGAGCTGGATCCGCTGCTGCACTTGAAACGATACTCTGTTCCACCTGGCTCTTCAGTACAGTGCTTACATCCTCTAGCCCTGGGATGCGATGGGACACTTTACTTGTCTGGACGGAATGGCAACAAGCATTCCATTTGCTCCTTGGCACGGGGAGAACTGCATGTCGCCCACGAATCCGCCTCTCTTGCTGTAGCAGATGCCATCTATCATGGCAGCAGTCTCTTCGTCTTGGGCGAAGAGGGAGAGGACCCTTGCATGCTGCAGTTCGAGATCTCTGAAGGTCGCCTTGCTCTCGAACGGATGAAGATCCTTGAGCTGCCGATGGCACGGGACGACCTCATACGATTCAACACATACTGGAACAGAAACACGAAAAGGTTCCTGGCTGCTTGGATGAGATGATGCGATGTTGAGTTTTCCAGGGGTGCATGACCAGTTTGTGTTTTGGCGATGAATCCCTGAAACCAAACGAAGGCTGCAGACGGCACCGGTGAGGCTTTGTGGATAAAGACAGAAGCCGGCATCTTCGTGGTATCAATTGGCAGCCTTGAAGCTCATGTTTGCTTCCTCTGGCAGCCGGTACTGCAATGTTGCACAAGCATTTGCCGGAATTGCCGGATTTCCCCCTTAATCCCTAAACCTTGAAGATCCCAAGCACTCTGTAAGCTTGAAGCTGACTGGCAGCTGAAGGCATGAATTTACTGCAGCGTTGCCCCTGCTCGAAGATGTCGTCGTGTCGCGTGACGGCGTAGTCTTGGATCCGCGAACCCGGGAGCTGTACATCATCATTGACTACACCCTGCAAATCCATGATACTGATCCTGATGAAAGTGATGCCAGCAGCAACGATAGTATTCTCACTTGCGAGGTGCTTTGTCTGACTCCGGTTCCTAGCCGCTCGGAAAAGGCTTGGGAGGTCTCCTTCCCGAACCTGCAGGGCAGCTCCGTTTGTTGGGCTCCCTTCGCTTTGGACGGCTTGGGTACACCATACTGTGTCCTATGTGCACGCTGGGTCGGCCCTGGGCGAATCATGGTGGTAGATGTTGCAGGTTCGCTGTGGAGCATGGATGTCTGAGTTGCCGGAAGCACGGAGAAAGTCCAGTACAACATCGAAGGGTTTCCAAAAACGCCTAGGACCTAGGACCTAGGCATTCTCACATCCCCTAACGTCCCCAAACTGAAAACACCCGAAACCCTAAACCTAAACCCGAAACAGCATCCTGGTCCAGGACCCAAGATGATGCTGTAAGAGCTCTTTTCGGGTGGTTGAGCAGAGGGAGGAGAGTGCAGGCGGAAAGTTGCAACGAAGTAGGCTGCTGTGTAGTGTACACACGGACACAGGCATGTGCACACACACACACAAACAAACACACCTTCCTATCATTGTGGGATACAGTATATCCACTTGGCACTGGTGATTCCGTTCAAGTCAGATATTGCATCTGTTGTTGAGGGCTTCGGTGATAAGGATTAAAGCTGGGGGGCTGCTATCTTACGGCCATCCAAGCACTTTGTCAATGTGGCTTGGTGCCCTTAGAGCATTGGCTCGCTGCACAGGGTTGGCATAGTTGGGTGTGCTTCCACTGCTGGGCATAATCAAAGCGGTGGGCTTCAAGCCCAAACACCTGCGGCTGAACAGTAGGCGTGCCTTGAACTCCGCTCGATGTAAATCCATAACCTTCCCGCAGCAGCAGTGACGAAGACCCAACTGTGGGCTCATGGCCTTTATTGTATTTGGCGATGCCACCGAAAGTCGGGAGGCACCATTAAACTGGTACGATAATTGAACACATTCCATGGGTTGGACTTTTATTGTAGTGAATCCGTTGCAAGAAGCGGCACAGGATCAATGATAATGTCTAAAGGGCCTCCAAGAACAGCCCAGCAAATCACTCCGAAACCCTACACACCCTGAACCGCGTGGATATACCACCACGATGAACTCAGATGAAAGCATTGCGTGTTTGTCTGCAGACCTCGCCCGGACTTGTCCGAGCGTGAGCGTCAAAACCCCAAACTGGGCCCCAAGAGACATGAGCAGCCATGCTGCGCTGCCGAAGCTGCAGATCAAGATCCGAAGCCACTTGCATTGACTGCGATATACTTCTAGGGTTTCGGGTTTAGGGCGCAGGTTTCAGAAGCTTTCTATAGTGATGCTTCAAAAAGGCCCCTCGGTTTCTCCAGGAGGTCGGGCTAGGCTCCCGCGAGCAGGTTTTGTGTTGCGCACGGATGTTGAGGTATACTCCAACGCCGCAAATCCTCGTGCCAGCCTAGGCCCAAGTCCTTCGCCTTAAACACTCAGAGCAGGAGAGCTTGAAATCCAAGACGTTCGGCCCCCCAACCCTAAGTCCCTAAATACAGTAGAGCCTTCATTCAAGCTTGGAGCTTTCAAGCTTAAGCCCCAGACCCTGAATGCCTGAATTAAACAGCCCTCGCACCTTAAACCGTATCGGGCCCCTGTTCACCCTGAAACCCTAACCCCACCCTCCCCCCCAGAAGCCCAAAATCCATTTCGTTAGCGATGTGAGCGGGGACCAGAAGGCATTCTCTCCGGCGATGTGCTCGCGGATTTGCAGGCCTGGCCCCAGGGCTTGCTTTTCACGGTTTATCAGTGCTTCAGGGTTCAGGGTTAAGGATTTCATGAGTTTACTTTATGCTCAGGGTTTGAGGGTTTACGGTTTCTTGGATTTAGGGTTTAGGGTTTAGGGTTTAGGGTTGAGTCGCTGCAAACCAGATGCAAAAACAAAAGTTTCTTGGATTTAGCTCGGGGGCTGGAAGGTCTTGGGTTGTTGGATGTGAGGCCTCGTTCGCAGGAATTCGTAAATGATCTGCTGGGTCCAGGCTCACGGCTTCTCGAAGCGTAAGCCCGAAAGCCCACAATTTAGACCCAGGTCCCCATTACTTCGACTCCCAACCCCCAACCTCGTTTGCCCTGATCCGGAAAACCCCAAACCCTAAACCCTGACCCCTAAACCCTAAACCTTGAGTCCGGGTCTTCGTGGAGTAGACTCGAGTAGCCTTCGTAGAGTAGATTGGAGTCAACTCTAAAGTTCTGCCTTTAGGGGTCGAGGTTGGAGATATTGGGCTTAGGGTTTAGGGTTTAGGGTTTGGGGGTCGAGGTTGGAGATATTCGGGCTTCGTCTTGGTTTTACCGGATGAGTCTCCTATGGAGTGCATTTTTCTAGTTTCGGGTCTGAGCTTCAGCCTTTGGCTTAGGCATGATGCTCGTACGGAGTAGACTTGGTTCACACGATACATTCAGACAATGGGGGTCAACTACAGACCGCCTGAACAGCGCAAGATGCCCATGAGAATCACCACAGGAAGGGACCCCGAATTTTCCTACAACCCGAAACCCTAAACCTAAAACCTAAAACCTAAACCCTAAACCCTAAACCCTAAACCCTAAACCTACACCAATGTACTACCATGAACTTCCAGGGCACAGAGTCAACCAAAGAGGTCACAGCCGAGGAGAGTCTGCAAGCTGCTGCAGAATCGAAGCCAAGAGCAAGTCAAGAGTTCGGGCTTTTGGGGATTCCGTCTTTCAAGGATGCTATAAGGGATCCTTTCAGGGGTTCTAGAAGTGTACTATACGAGATCCTTTCAGGGGTTCTAGATGTGTACTATACGAGTATTCGGGTTTAGAGGTTAGGGGCTTCTGCTACTCAGGATCTAGAGGTTTAAGCTTAAAGCAGCGAGCTTCCGGTGCTCCCCTTGTTTCTGTCCTGGTTGAGCCGCTGCAAACCAGATGCAACAAAGGGGTTTACGGATTTTGGAATTCAGGTTTTTTTGGGGTTTCGGCATTCGGGGTCTCGATGTAGTGGTTCAGGCTGCGGAGGCCTTGGCTTTCAGGGCTTCAGAGTTTAGGGCTATAGGGCTTAGGGTTTCAGTTTCAATACGAGAGACATTTCCACAATCCAGAACTTTAAACTTAAAATACGATTTCGGGAGTTGCAAGACGCGTAGGGCTGTCTTATGGGATCTAGGCCCCAGTACACTTCGGGTTGGGGTCTGGGGTACAGAACATTTGAGAGTTCGAGTTTCAGATGATGTTGACGGTTCTTTCAGGTGAGTGAATCAGTGAGCCTCGTCCAGTCCTCTGGCCCAGGTCTTTTTTGAGAAAAGGACAGAACTGAGAAGCAGTTGCGCTTTAGCCGCTTTAGCTTGTAAAGCGAGTCTAAAGAGGTAGATCACTTTGTTGGACAAGAAATCTGGAGGTTAAGCTTGTTGGGTCCCTTCAACTGAACGGTGAAGACATTGCGGCACTTTGAGATGTTTGAGGTCCCCAAGCCAAGTCACGTTGTGAGGAGGCATTCTGTATGCAGACGTTCACATCTTCTGTGACACGGCCGGGGATTTAGCCTCCATGCTGTTCTGCGCTCAGCTGCCAGACCCCTTAAAAGTACTAACCCCTTCTGAGGACGTTGCCCGACTTGGTTCCTTTTCAGCTGGTCTATGGGGCTGTGAGCTGCACGCAGTCGACGGCGCAGGAAATAGGCATGGCCCTAAACCCGAAACCCTAAGCCCTAAACCCTGAACCCTAAACCCTAAAACTTAAGGCCTAAACCCTGAACTCTAAACCCTAAACCCTAAACTACCCATGAACCCTAAACCTTGCAGTAAACGCAAACCTGATCCTAACCAGGCCTGTTCTGGTAGCAACGGGAGTAAGAACTGGTTCTGTGTTTTAAGATCTTGGCGGGTTTGTCAGGGTGTTCCGTTTGTGGGTCGTAGAAGACTTCCAAGTTGCGTCTTTCGACGGAGTCCCGTTGTAATTCACAGTTCCAGTGCAATCACCGATACAGGTCCTTGCGCATCCATTTATGAACAAGTTTCAGGTCCATGCCACGCGATTGGTCTAACCTTGGCGGTCCCTCATGCCGCTACTTTCAAGTCGGCTCTGTCTAAGACTTATCCTTAAACTTATCCATACCCGAAAGCTTGGCCCCAGAAGCCTGGCGATTGGTCACTTGCAAGATGTCAAGTTTAGGTATATACGTGTGTTTATACGTATAGATGACAGCTATATATATGTATATATACACATCTATATACATACATAATAACTGTGTGTGTGTGTGTGTTTGTTTTGTGTGTTTGGGTGTTTGTTTCATTGTTCGTTTGTGTGTGTGTCTATATATACGTATACATAAGCTATGAAACCCTAAATCCCTAAACCCTGCAGTTGCGAGTGTGTGAGTCGAAACCCTCAAACCCTAAACCCTAAAACCCTTATCCTTAAACCCCGAGAGGAGGCCTAGAGCAGTTAAATTGGACTCCGGCAGTCAGAACAAAGGTCCCGGCCAGAGCTCTCTCGTGCGTTTAAGTACAGCTCCAGCATTTCCCTAGGTTAACAGTTAGGGTTCATAGTTTAGGGCTTATAGGGCTTATGGGGTTTAGGGTTTAGGGTGGGATGTCCCGAAGTTAAGCCTTGAGCTTTGAACCCTAAACTCTCACATTCCAGCTTCAAACCTCAACTCTAAATCCCTGAACTTTAAACCCAAGCCCAAACACTAAACCACAAGCCCTGAACAGGTTTGGACGACGGGGCTGTGCTTGATCTGGTTCGAGTGCGTAAGACACGCGCTCTCGTCCCCCACCCCTGCAATTTCCTTTTGTCCGCAGCCTGGCTGCGACCATGACCGTCTATCGATGTCTGTCGGTTGAGGGTTCCCTCCTCACGTCTCCTCCGCCTACATGAGTAATTGCTGAGATTGGACTTCGGATCCACCTCAAAGCTGGAAGCTGTACCAACCGGTCAAGGAAGGAGTTTTTCGGAAGGAAAGATAGGGCTGGCTTAGGCTTTACAGGGTAAGTGTAGTCGTGGCAGAAGCAGCCGCAGCAACAGGATCACAAATCATGTCCGTCCATCACCTCCACCACCATCCTCACATAGTAATTAATTCGCACCAGCTTGATTAACAACCGTGGTAGTCTTGTAAGTGGAGTTGCGGCTCTGGTGATGTTGTCATCTTCGCTTCCCAACGTGTGCAGCCCTGCGGCCTGAGCCGCCAAGACACTGAACCCCAACGGTTTAGGGTTTAGAGTTTAGGGTTTAGGGTTTAGGGTCAA